CAAGTACTTTATTTAAAAATAACAATTAAGATAATATCATTAACTATAAATAATTGTATTTTTTTAGATTAATTACTTTAATATGCTTACAAATTTTTATTAAAGTATTTTTTTTAATAATAAATAAAGCAGAAATAGATATATTATTATTAAAAGGTGTTTTTTTAACAAAAATTAATTAAAAATAGATAAGTTTTTGTTTAGCTAAATATAGTATTTAAAAAATTATTAATTTTTGTTTAGTTAAATGCAGTATTTAAAAAGTCACAAGTTTTGTTTAGAAAATACAGTACTTAAAAAATCACAAGTTTTTTTAAAAATAAAATTGCTTAATAAATTACACTTTTGATTTTTTTTTTTTTTAATTTTAAAAGATGAGGCTATGCCTCTAACTTTATTGAAATTCAATCGAGTTTCTTTACAAGAAATACATACAAGAAAGAAATTACATTTGAACCTCATATCTAGAGGATACTTAAGACTAGAGACTCAGACACAATGTTACAATACATAATAACATAATTATCTGTGGCCTAAACCTAACTTTTAATTTTTAATTATTAATAAATTAAATATATCATATATACTATACACATAATTTATAAATTTTTATTGTATAAATTCTGTGTCTCTGTTTTAGCCCAAATTAATCATATTTTAATTTCAAAAACTTACACAAATTAAATTATATAAAATTACAGTAATTTTTTAACTCTATATATAAGCTTATATATTACAGATTAATTTGGTTTTAGATCAAAATTGAACTTGATTCAAGTTAAATTAATCAATTAAAAAACCTGGTTCACATCAATACAATTCTAGCCTGTAAAATTCTGCTAGTGATCAATTTGATTTAGATTAAGTTTAACTTAATCTAAAAACTAATTTATCTTATTTCATAATCACAAACTTATTAAATCGACAAAAAATCATTTAGCTAATATTTATTAAATAAAAAAATATTAGTAATAGAAGAGCTCTGAAATGTATAATACTAACAACTAAGAAATACTTATCTATATTAAAAAAAAGAGCACTCTAACAACTATAAAAAACTAGAGATTGTACCCATATAAGGTTACTCAGATAATCTGCATAATACTCATTAACCAGGTCATGACTCTTGCTACCCAGGTGATCTGTATTAGTTATTCATAAACTCATAAACACAGCTTAAGTAATTAATTTATAGAGAAAACTCTAGTTATCCGTCATGCAATTCATGATCATGTTTTGCAAATCGTCAAACCTAAATTTATCATCTTTAACAGATTAGCAAATTTCACTATATTGATATTAAATTGTCAAAAACCACCAAGAAGGTAACCATGATACCTTATAACAAAAATCCAATCCGCATTTTTTTTTCTATGTTTCATCCATAAATGTTGCATCTTTATGGAATTTATACCTTTAAATTATTGACCAGGGTAAAATCACCATCCAAAAAAGTTTCGAATATTATATGAAAAATATCAAATATCAAAAATTATGTAACTTAAACCAAAAATATAAAAGAATAAAAATTTATAGACTAACAAAATAAAAATAATAAGCAATTTTAGTTATTTCGAATAAACTCAATAAACATAATATTTATTACAGCCAGAAAATATTATGATTACGGTTTTTAAAATATTCCATTGCCTTTTAAAATGATTATAATTCTCTTCTAATTTATGCAATTGCTTTAAGTTTTTATTAATACTATTGAACTATTTGTTATTATTTGGATTCATTATATTTTCTCCAATAATTTTTTTTGTTGCGTCCTAAATTCAAAATTATAAAAACTTTTTGCTCAAATAAATAATCAGAGTTATAGTCTTCCGGAGGAGTATTAAAAATAAAATCTACAAGGTTTTCTGGTACAATTGCATTTTCTTAATTAGCTTTTACAATTTTATTTTGACTTTCATTCATTTTTTTTGTTTATTATTAGTGAAAATTTGGTTATAGCAATTGATTTATATTTTTAAAATATTTAATTTTATACCTTTAAAAGAATAACTTGGTAAGGGTGTGACGACTTAGTGAAGTGGTAAAGTTGTTGCACCCCCAAGCGGTAGAGTATAAGTTCAATTCCCACGAAAAGTAAAAAATTGAATTTAGAAAAACGGATTCAGCAACTATCGTCGTGGCTGGGAAAACTCGAGACCCTGTAACTGTGGTTATACCAAGATAAAAATTAGAAGGTTCTGGGGCATTTGTGTAATAAAGAAGTTACACAAAAGCATGCAAGCCGGTTTAGTTGATGCAAACCTAAGATAAGTTCTTCGGAATCGCAGAAAGCCACAGGACCAATATGGCGGTGAGGCGCTCGCTTGGGAAGTTCTAAATAGAGAGGTAGCACAGATCTTCGACAGTACTATATGCGAATTAATATCTGGTGAACCAGATAAACTGAATGGGACTGAAGTATTCAGCAAGGCACTCCACCAACCAGGCTGCCAGAGGAGTAACCGGAAGAAAAGTATCTAATCGTGGGGACCAGGAGCAGGCCATAGCCCTTCTGGGCCATCTAGATTGATAGTTTGGAATAGCTGAAATAACCAGGAAAAGTCTGTAGGTGTGTTGGAGTTTGGGTGAACTCTATAAGGGCAGTAGTAGTTAACTGTAGCAGCCTCGGCTCGCAAATACTTGTCTTCGGACTCGGCGTAAGTTACCAAAGAAGATTAGATAATACAGGAATAGTGGATATCAGACTGCTCTAGCAGGTGATGCACTTGAGGATGAATCGGTTAACCATGTCAGTAGTCCTATAGGTGGACGTGAAGATCTTGGAACTTGGACTGACTTATGTATCGCATGTTCTGAGTGAGATTAAATAGATTGATATAAGAAACTCAGATCAGAGGGTTTAATTGGATAATTCAAGTAATAGTGTGTTACAGGTACGGCATCTAGTGTAGCACCTAGCATATAGGTAGATTATTTAATTAGGCACCCAAAAGGTGCAGATATGGCTAGAATATATTCTCGTCAGAATGTACTTGTCTGGAGCCTCTTTGAAAAAGGCATCACATGATCCTAATATCTAATAAAAGTGATAAGCCAAAGAGGCTAACCTTGACTATAAAAAAAAAAAAAGAATAACTTGGTTTGTTGAGATAAAATGATCACTTTTCATTTTGAAGAATTGAAGAAAAATGCCACAAGCAAATATTTCTTCCAAATTTGATTCACTTTACAGTTTTGGATATTGTGAATCTGGTGGTAGGTGATTAGTTAAAATAAAATCCTAAATTAATCTTTACAAGATCATTCTTACATATTTACATGTATAAATTCTCTTACTACATCTGTTCTCATTAACAACTACAATCAACTATTCTTCTATCCGTCTATATCCAGTTATTTGACTAAAGCAAATCACTAAAAGAATCGAATGGTATGATTATTTCTAAGCCTTGCTCAAAGAATCAAATAGCATGATTATTCCAAGCCTTGTCTAAAGAATCAAATAGCATGATTATTTTCAAGCTTACCTAAAGAATCAAATGCTATAATTATTTCTAAGCCTTGCCTTAATGTATCGATCATGCAACCAGTTTGTATAATTATACAGGATCAAATGGCATAATAATTAAATTAATCATCCCATGAACTAAATAGGTAAAGCGTGTATTTAAAGCTAACTAATTTGATATATGAAACATAATTCTACAGGTTGAATGGTATCTAAATAAGTTGAATATGTATTTAAAGCCAACTGGTTCGCATAATTACACAGATCGAATTGCATGATAATTAAACATTTCTACTAACTATTAAATAAGTTGAACATGCATTCAAAGCCAACTGATTTGATGCAAGAAAAATAATTTCACAGATCAAATAGTATAACTATTCATAAGCCTGCTCAAGTAAGTCTAATATATGCTTAAAGCTAACTGGATCAATGCAAGAAGCATTGTCATATAATTAAATTGTATTGTTATTGAGAAGGCGTACTGATAATAAGAATTAGATTATGAAAAAAATTAAAATTTAGATATTTTAAAAAATGTATTTAAACTATACTTTTTGACTTAAATAAAGCTTCAGAATTCAATTCTGAATCTAAATTATTTAAATAAATTTTCACTTGATATATTTAACTTTAACTCTTACTGCTATCACGTATTTATTAGTTAAATCATCCTTGCTCTCGATCATATATTATAATTACATAATAATTGACAAACTCGACTTATAATCCCTTATACTACTTTGTATATATAAATCGTCTCTTATATAGTACTATAACAATTAAATAAAAAAATAGAATCTTAGTCTAGTTTAAGTTTTCAAACAACTATTTTTTCTGATGAAAGTAATAGTGATAGTGATAATAATAATAATATAACTCCTCCTACAAACGCATTGGTTAGTAATAAAAAAAAAAGGAGTAAAAAAAATAAATCAAGTTTTGTGTGGAAGTATTTTAAAGAAATCAGAACAGAAGATATATGTCAAGTTATAATTAAAAAAAATGGTATAGACAAAAAGTGCAAAAGAAAGTATATTCATGATAATTTAATATTGAATATGATCACTCACCTACAATTTCATAATATCGTGGATAGCAAAAAGTTAAAATCTGAAGAACCACAAAAACAACAAGCTACATTACCAGCAATGCTTAAATCTAATACTAATACTCTACATAAAAGTGAAAGACGAAAAAAAATAGTCAAAGGAGTTATTAAATGGATTCTTCTGGATAATGAATCTTTATCAGCACCAAGAAAAAGTAGTTTTGTCATATAATGGCAATAATTGATCCAAAGTTTTGTCTGCTTTCTAATAAGCTAATAAAAAATTAAATATTATTAAATTACCTTAAAAATATAGATGCTCTTAAACAAAAAATTACATCATCTTGTAAAACTGCTATATTAACAGCAGATTTATAGACCTTACGGAATAATCAAGGTTATATTAGGGTCACTTGTCACTGGATAACTTATAATTGGTCTCTCCAAAGCATGTTATTATGTTGTGAAAAATATTATATCCACATACCACTGAGTCCATTCATCAATTTTTTATTAACAAATGCACTAAATTTAATCTTGAAAATAAGATTATGTGTGCTGTTACTGATAATGGCTCCAACATGATAAAAGCTATTAGGTTGTAGAATACCATTGTCTGTCTCCCGTATACTGCGCACTCTTTACAATTAATAGTTAATTTTGCTCTGCAAAAAATTCACTTATAAACAAAAAAAATAAAAAAATTAGTTCATTTTTTTGATTCACCAAAGCAACAAAAAAGGTTAGAAAAAGCCCAAATAAGAGTAATAGAAAGAGATATATTACTATCTTTTAGTCCAGTTTATACTAAAGCCTATGCTGAAGTTTACTTTGACAATAAAGAGGTTGGTAAAATTGATGATGGAGGTAATACAGAATTAGAAAAACTATTAAACATAAATATTACTCCTAAGCCTCTTTGTCTAATTAAAGACTGTCCTATATGGTAGAATTCTAAATATCAGTCTTGAGAAAGATTATTGAAATTAAAAGATGCAATTATATGGCTAGAGGTAAATTTGAATATTTCATAGAATTCAGATAACAGAAAAGACGGGTAAAAACTTAAACGATACTTGTCTGATAAAAATAAATGGAAATTAATCGAAGAATTAGTTAAAACTTTTAAACAGTTTAATCATGCAATGGAAGCATTTAGTGCTGAAAAGTACCCTACATTATTAGTCATATATCCTATCATTGAACTTTTGAAATTTGAATTCGCAGTAGATCCAAATCTGCCCTTAGTTGATAATGATTATGATCTAAATTATGAATATAATATGTACTTTTTTTTTTGTAAAAATAATAATAATAAATAAATAATAAGTAAAAAATAAATAAATGCAAAAAAAAAAAATAAATAATGAAAAAAATAAAAAAATAAATAAAATTGTATAATTTTTTGTATTAATTCATAAAATATTAATATTAGTTCTTATCTTCAGAATCAAATATAGATAGTGATAGTAAAGACAAAGAGGATTATACTTAAGATACCCTTAACATTTAATCAACAATTGCTTAAATTAAGCAGGCAATTTACAATTCACTTTAGAAATATTGGGAAAATCCAATATTTACTGGCCTTATAGCAACTTTACTAGATCCAAAGCTCAAGAAAATGCGTATTTAGTGAAGAACTATGGAAAGAAACAATTAGAATATGTCATGAAGAATATAACAATATCATTGACAAAACACTTACACAATTAACACATTTCAATGTAACTTCAACTAATTGTTCTTTGCTTCAATATTTGATGATGAGAATAATAATGATGATAATTTATCTGTTAATAAATTAGATAAATATTTAGATATGCCTATTGCCTCAAAAACTAAATCACCCTTAGACAGCATAGCGGGCTTTATCATGATTGGCTAATTTTTGAAGATCATCTCATCATAATAAAGTCTTATTAAAGTAACG